CAAAAAATGTTTTCATTAATTTCGGTCTGTGTAACCTTGGATATCCTTGCAATTGCAAGGCATCCAAGTATCCTGCATTTCTGGAGGCCGCTGTTGTTAAAGAGTGCGACTTTGGTCGAAGGCATTGGTACGGCGGTCAACGTAGGTTTTGTGAAGGGGGTTCTTCTTGGCGAGCAGCTTGCTGATGATTGCATCATTTTCGTCAAACCATTCGTGGTGTGAACGGCGAGCGCGGCCAAGGACATGTTATAATATGTTGGGCGGTGGATTGAACAGTCGCTCGTAGTTGGCACCATCTGTTCTCCACGGAGGCGTTCTCCTCTGCGAGTGAAAGATTGTTATTTGTTGAGCCAGGTCTGTGTTGAAATGCAAATGTTCAGTAGGTAACATTAGTAAATCTGCTATTCAGCAGCTTAGGAGGTCTCCCATACGAAGGTCGTCTAGATAGGCTCAATCTTTTTCCTCTCTTTTATAGGCAATACATAGGAGATATGATCAGGGCGTTTAAACTCGTCAGGGAGTAAACTTTCCTCTTCAGATGGCTGACTTCTTTGGATTCGCATAAACGATACATCTACGCAGTTATTCGTACAAACAGAAGAAACACCACGCCAAACTAGAAGTGAGGGCCAACTTCTTCTACCACGGGTCATTGAAGACTGGAATAAACTTCCTTCCTCAGTTGTTCTTGTTGAAAGCGTCGACGCATTTAAAAGAAGGCTAGATCTTACTCTACTTGCTGGGTATACATTTGGTAGACAGCAACGATTTATGTAATGTATATATGGCTTTGAACCACATGCATGATCTGACAGCATCTATCTGTAAATAGGGTTTTCAAAAGCTCTGCCTACCTCCCTTATATATATTGAATTAACTTACGTGGAGGTTGCTTACCTTGAGGTTTTCTGTGTGGTTGAAGGCCGATTGTCGTCTTGGAGATGACGATAGGATGATCTGTCCATCTGTTGGCACCCTGTATCGCCTTTATTACCAGCACGTCCTGCTGTTTGCACCGCCGAATGAAGGTACAATCCAGGAGATACCACTGCCGGGACCGGAGATGCATTTAAATAGCATTGTGCTGCTGTGGAAGGCAAAAGTAGGTATTGATCAGGATGAGACGGCGCCCTGCGCTGGTTCGCAGGAGGAACAGGCCATTGTTATTGAGTCCATGGAGACCGTGGGGACCCAGCACTCCTCTCTACACAATGTGGTCTGTGCCAACGTGAACGTTGAACTCACCGAGAACGATTAAAATGTCCGCCTTCGGTACAGCCGCCAGTAGGGCGTGCAAATCCGCGTAGAGCTTGTTCTTGGTCTCTTCGGAACTGGTCATCGGTTTAGTGAAAGCACGACTCTACGGCTCTAGCCACCTACGTGATTGCATGTCGCTCTCGCTGTATACGTTTTTCGACCGTGTGGGGAAAATATTTGGAGGGGGGTGGGAGCAGCAGTATTTATCTGAGTAGTGGCGGCAAAACTGTATTTCGAAAAATAACAGCAACCAATTCGATTACTAGGGCGACTAATAGTATTACTGCTGTGATTTTCACTTTCACTATTGTTGCTAGAGATACTACGTCTGCTTAATGGATAGTACTAGGAATGGCAGTGTTATTACAATTCATACTGATAATGGAAGACTGCAGGTACCAGTGACATAGGAAGGATAATGACAATAATGTGGTATTATAAACCGAAAA